CGCGGATGATCAAAATGACCATGGCATTTTATCCGATATTTTGGATGATCTCGACGATTATGGTGATTTCGATTCCAAGGAAGATCTTCTGGCTGATTACTCTGCTTTTGCTCTCCATCAGCGTCAGCGTGGCGGAGGTAGACCCCCTCAAAGAGAGAAAGGTTACTACAACCGTTATGATGACCGCATCGAAGAAGTCAGAAAGCGAATAAAAGATAAACTCTCGAGAGCCAAGGATAATCTTGACGATGCTCATAAATGGAACAGAAGATCGCCAGGCAACGCGCGTGTTGTCCCATATTATAATGAAAAGGCAAGTAGGACCCCTGACCTTAGCTCTGGAAAACGAGCCATGGTAAAACCCTGGCAGGAAGGTAAAAGGCTTCACGAAAAGTTACAGGACGCAAAGTCTCGTCAAGACTGGAATGCTGTTGCGGAGGTTGACAAAGAACTTGCTCAAGCTTTATCTACTTATCAGCAACCACCTGAACTAGCTAGGGAAGATCCAGACAAACCTACTCGCCAAGACAAGCAAGATAATCTCATCTGTGCACTTTTAGATGTTTTGGATGTGGCTAAACACGCTAAGATGAGTCCTGAAGCTACTGCGGCAGCACTGGCCGTCATGAATGACAGATTCTACAACACACCTGCTGGCGAAGACGAAGAAGACGAGGAAGAAGAGTTGAAAGGCGACTCTCATGTCAACTTTGTCGACACAGCAACCGTTCAGTGCTACCTGGCTGGACTCAGAGGACAATTCATCGCACCTCAAACGAATTCCAGCAAACCCTGTCCGATATCGACATGGACCTAAATAAGGACCCGGATCCCATGCAGATAGATCGGCAAAGAAACAAAATAGCCAAGGCACATGACGTGCCTAGGAAGTCATATGTTCCGGACCCAAGTGACTATCCGGATACAAAGGACAACCCGAATGAAGCGGCTTTCTCTCCAGAAGAGGAGGACTCCGGGGGAGAGGCTGACATGGAACATGGTCAGCAGAAAGAAAAGAATGACATGGAACATGGTCAGCAGAAAGAAAAGAATGAAACCCACCCACCCGTCCCTGAAGAACCCATGCGATATGGGGCCGATGGCGACTACGATCAAGACGACACATATGAGCAGGCGCACAAGGATATACCGCTTGAGTGCCGGCCACTCCCGTGGCACCTGCGTAAGCGCCGGCGTTCGCCGGTTCAACGTTTCAGCTTCGGCACTGACATCAGCAGGGCGGACTCTCGTTGGGACGAGTCTCTGCTTGTGATTCCTTCTATTGGCGAGTTACTCGAGGCGAATGCTGAGGTTTACGTCATGCCTGGCGCAACTCATCATGTGCGTGCTCACACTCGCTATAAAGCGTATCGACGCGGCAAGACCCTGCCGGAGTATTTCGCTTACGGCGGTACTCACGAGGACTACCGAAACGATGTTTGGTATGGCATTCTGCGCTTCTTGGACCCTGAGCTCTATGCTCTGCAGTACTCTCGCGGAGCTAACTGGAGCAAGCTTAGCTCCGGGGGAGAAGAAGATATGCCCAGGATGGCAGGTGAAGCTTACGCTTGCTATTATCAGTCAGACTCAGCAGAACCTCCGATAGTGCCAGATAAATCCTCTCTTTGCGACGAGAAACTTCTACGCGAGGCAAGAATACAGCGGAATCTCGTAGAGGACTACCAGCGTGCCAATATGTTAGGCATGACACATGATCAGTACCATACAGTCAAGTATGACTCTTATAGTTTGGTGAAGAATCCAGAAGCTCATTATGCAACTAACTACGATGTTCATGAACAACTAGTGGACTACCTTACTCTCTTGACAAATCAAGTCATTGAGAATACTGAGGATGGTGCAGCTGCGATTCCACAGGCTACAGAGATCTTCTTAGCCCTATACACTGTCACTAAGGAAGACATTCGAATTGATACGAGCAAGCTAGCAGACGTAGCAAAGACACCAATTGAGCAAAGACCCAAAATGATAGA